CCGGGGTCGACTACATGGGAGTCCAGCGACATAGCCATTACGCTAACTGCTGGTTCCCTCCTTTTTTTTTTTTAAAGAGAGATTTTTGTTATAGGGCATATGTGCTCTCCAGAGAGAGAGAGAGAAAGTGAGAAATCATCCCCTGGAGGGATAGCCATGCCACAATCCCTTTTCCTTCAGTTTCCTCTTGGGATTTTGGGCATATATGCACATGTGCCCGGCATGAGTTTTAAGCCACTAGGTCCAGGACTTGAACCAATTGACTACATGGGAGTCTAGCAATGTAACCATTACACTATCTGCTGCTCCCAAAAAATGTGTCAGAATTTGTAACAAATATTATGTAGAGGATTGAAATAAGAATAACTGTGTGATCGTTTTCGATTACAGGGAGGGAAGGCCCTCTTAGGATCTGAAGGATCTCTGAGAAGATGGAGCAACACAGTTTTTTTAAACTTATTTGTTTATTTAGTTTGTCTGTCTTTCTTTCTTTCTTTCTTTCTTTCTTTCTTTCTTTCTTTCTTTCTTTCTATGCTTGCACTTATAGGAGAGACAGAGAGAGAGAGAGAGACAGACAGACAGACCTCCTCAGGGGAGAATGGCCGTGTTGGAATCCCTTCTCCTCTATTCCTCACTTGGGATTTTAGGCACATAAGCACATGCACTTGATATGTATCAGGCAGCCAGGTTCAGAACTTGAATTGCGCAGTCAACCATGTGGGATCCAGCTGCTTTAACCACCCTGCCACCAGCTGGCCCGGTTGTATTTATGTGTGTATGTTGAATGCAGAATCCCCTGGGCAGGAACAAACTGTATGTTTGGAGGGCATTGTGGATGGAGCAAGAGGGAGAGTGGTAGATGTAAAAGACCAGTAGGGGTAGGTCATATAGTACTTGATAAAACAAGGTAATGACTTTGGCTTTTATTTAAAATGTGAGTAGAAGCTATTAGTAGACTTTGAGAAAGAGTGATGACAGATTTATGGACTTTTATCTTTTTATCAATATATATATTTTAGTTTTTCTATAGGGCACATACACTCATTAGAGAGAGGGAAAAGGAAAAAGCATCCTCCAGTTGGTTTGCTCATATCACAATTTTTTCTCCATTCTGTTGAGATTTTAGACATGCATGCACATGCACCTAGCATGGTTTTCAAGCTGCTAGGCCATATTCTAGCCACTAAGTTGGCCGCCATGTTGCTCCCTTAACCACAAGGCCACGGGGCCAGCCCTGGGTTTAAGGTTTGAAAAGAACCTTCTACCTGCCATTTGAAGAATAGATTTTTAGGAAAGAGACAAGTGTAGAAGCAAGAAGATGAGTTAGAAAGTTGTTTGGGTGCTGGCACAAAGGTGGTAAAAACGATCAGATTCTATATATATTGGATTTGAAATTAGAACTATTAATAGATTCATTGTGAAATATAAGAGAAAGATAGGACTCAGAGATGATTTCATGGTGTCTGGCTTCAGGTCCAGCTGTGGTAGCATAGCAGTAGTGGATTGATCTGCAATGTTGGAGCCTTATGTGAACCGTGGTTCACTTCCCAGGTCAACCTGCACACACTGGGTACATGTGCTGTTCATTTTGCTACCACGTATGCCACCAGTCTTCTTAGGCTTATCCTGAGGTAGCACCCCTCCATCACCTTCCCCTTCCTTCCATCCATTCATTGATTAATTTAGTGTCAGGTTTATTTATTTCTTTTCCAGCACTACAGATTTGTCTCTAGATGACAGCAATTAAAGGTAATGTTGGTAAATGTGAAAGGATCTAGAGGCTTTTGAAGGGGAAGATAGAAGAAATGCTTGTTTTGTTTTACTTTGAGTTTTAGGGCACATGTGCTTTATAGAGAGAAACAGAGACAGAAAGAGAGGGAAAGTGAGAAATCACCCCCCAGTGGGTTTGGCCATACCTCAGTGACTTCTTCATTCTCCTCTTGGGATTTTGGGCAAACACATATGCCCACTATGATTCTCAAGTCATGGGTCTGGGACTCAGAACTGCGAAGCTGGCTATGTGGGATCCAGTGCCTTCACCTCCACACCACCTACTGGCCCAAGAAGAACTGGTTTGGAAGTAACCATGAGGAAAAGGAAAATATATACCTTACTTCCTCGATTTTGAGAAAATAGAGTATAAAGAGAAAAATGTTATCTGAAGATTGTCCTTCCTAATATTGATGAATAGATTTCATGAGATAATTATGTAAAGTACTTAATACCAACTGGTAAATAAGGCTAACCAATACATTTCTTTCCAGTGGCAGTGTATGTGTTCTCTTTTCTTCCCCTTTTCTTCTTTTTCCTTTCTTAAGAGCTAGGAACAGGAACAGGGATCATATTAGGAAGACCCCTGGCAAAGGGACTGGTACCTAAAAAATGAGTTAAATCAGCCAAGTCCAAGGTTTAGGGAAGTTAGGGTGCACCAAGGGACGTAGATACGTGTTATCAGAGCCTTAAGTAAAACTACAGGCCGGGCAACATTCTTTCCCCTTGCCACTCAGATATTCGGTGCCATTTTCTACTGAAAACTATTTAACTGGGAAATTGTAGCTAAATATTACTGCAGTTATCTGATGAGTAATTAACATTAATAAAATCAAAAGAAACTTGTTATTTTGGATGGGTCTCATTCCCTGATTCTTCCAGTCTCCTTCTCCCCTTCCCACTAACTATCCCTAAAGAAAACTAGAAAGCCCCACAGTATTTTGAAATGTAAGATTCTCAGGGTGTGCAAATATTTGAAACTTCTATGGATTTCTAAATCTCTCACATGGACAAGTTTCAAGAGTATGTATTTATATCATAGTAGCTGAAATTTTATTAACTTGTTTTGTTCCTGTGATATTTGATGAGTATTTGATGAATAAAATATTGGGAGAATGATTATTTTCTTCTGCTGAATATATGTGGCTTTACTGCTATTTACCTCTGGGATATTTGAGTCTTGTGTTTACTTGTTTCTTTTTTTCCAGAAAGTGAAGGGCACTCCCCAAGTCACATTGCAGTGCTATGTCAAGGCCGAGTTTTTATCTTCGATGTATTACATGAAGGATGTTTGATCACCCCACCAGAATTTCACAGGTTTTCAAACTACTTTCTCAAGTCTCATTAGGTCTTAAGCTTTTACTTGATTCAAAAAATAAATCTAAAGTATTTTCACAATTTTAGAAGTCTCCCTTCATACCTCTTCCTAGTCACCATGGTTTCCTCTTCCCAAGATTAATCATTGAGGTCACTTACTGTTTTTATATAAAAAGGCTTCTGTGAAAATTCTCATACAAGTCTTTTGGTGCATATGTGCATGCATTTCTGTCTAGATTGCTCCCAAGGGAACATTTGCTATATCACAAGGTGACAGGGTGAAGTTGCATTCAACTTCAATAGGTAATGCCAGTTTTCAAAGTAGTGGCATTAGTAAGTACTTACACTAGTGTATGTACGAGTATAGTAGGAGGTATTTTACATCCTGGATAAGAGAGAGCTCTTTCTAGGTATTATATGTGGCAATACACAGAATAGGAAAGGTTTTAAAGTTGACTTTTCATTCTTTTAAACCCACCTTTATGATGAACAGAAGTTTGCAATTTGAGTGTAATCCAGTTTATTAAATATTTTGTCACATGGATTACACTTTTTGTGTTCTTTCTTTAAAATTTCCTAACCTAGTATCAAGAACTTATTTTCTTTTCTCTAGATTTGTTTTTTTTTTCTCATTTATATTTACAGTCTGCTTGAATTGATGTGTCTGTGTAGTGTGAGGAAGTAGTAGTTGTATGTTAAAAAATCAGTGTTGTTTTAGTGTTCTACAGTTTACTTATTTTAATAAGAAGACAATGATCTTTTTTTTTTTTTTTTGAGAGGTTTTCGCTATAGGGCGCGTGCGCTCTCCAGACGGACAGAGACATAGAGACAGAAAGCGAGAAATCACCCCCCAGAGGGGATGGTCATGCTGCAATCCCTTCTCCTCCATTCCCCTCTCAGGATCTTGGGCACGCACGCACACGCGCCTGGCATGAGTTTTAAGCCACCGGGTCCGGGACGCGAACCACGGTCGACTGTGTGGGAGTCCAGCGACATAGCCATTACGCTAACTGCTGGTTCCCAATAATAAGACAATGATATTTTCATAATGGTGTAGGTGTATCTACCTTATTCTTTTTAAGTGTCATGTAGAATTCCATCAAATAGATATACTATAGCATATTTGACCATTTCTCTATTGTGCACATTAAAGATGTTTCCATTTGTTGCTATAACAAGTAAAGAACATTTTCAAGCATGCCCCTTTGTGTATTAAGAGAAAATATCCTTGGGTTGATAATAGAAGTGAAATTTCTGGCCATGAAATACATACGTTCAAAAATTTTAACTATCAGATAGTCACCACAAGTGGCATTATCTTTCCTACCAGTATTGTATGAGGATACCCACCGCTCCACATCATTGCTTACATGCTGTTATACAACTTAATACATATCTGGTGAGCTGACAGTTGAGAAATCGTTTTCATTCTTGTTCGAATTTGTATCTCTCTAGTGAGGTTGAGCATTTTTATATATTTAGGCCTTTTTTTTTCTGTGAGTTGATTTTTCCTATTTTTCTGTTGACTATTTTATTGATTTATGGCAGATATATTGTCTGGACACTAATCCTTTATTGATTATATGTATTGTAAATATTTTCTTCCAGTTATCTTAAAAATTGGGGGGATTTGTGTACTGCTAGTTTTGACATAGGCCAGTTTATCTCCTTTTATGGCTTTAGCTTTGATGTCTTAGTTTTTTTTCTTTCTTTTTGTAAGAGAGATTTTTGCTATAGGATGTATGTATTTGCCAGAGAGACAGAGACAGACAGAGAGATAGAAAGCGAGAAATTACCTCCCCCGAGAGGGCTGACCACACTGCAGTCCCTTCTCCAGTTTCCTCTCAGGTTTTGAGCACACATGCAAATGCACTCAGTGTTTTAAGCTGCTGGATCCGGAATTCAAACCACAGTCAACCATGTGGGAGTCCAGTGACATAACCATTTCACCATCTGCTGGTCCCAGTGTCTTAGATATTTGTCTTCTAGTTACATTTTTAAATTTGTTGTTTGCAAACTTTACATACAATTATTGGATTAGGATTATTAATTAGAATACTCAAAACCATTCTTCCAGAAATTGAATCCATCTGACCCATGGGTTAACTGATTTTGTTAGATAACAGAGAATTTTAAACCAGGAAAATTCACCTAAAAATATGGATTTCTATTTTCTCTTTAAAAAAATAAAAGTTCTGGGGCCAGCAGATGGCGTAATGGTTACATTGCTGTACTTCCACATAGTTGACCACAGTTCGAGTCCTGAACCCAGCAACTTAAAACTCAAACTGACTTAAAACTCACACCGGGCATGTGTGTATGCGTGCCCCAAATCCTGACAGGAAAATAGAGGAGAAAGGATTGTGGCATAGCCATTTCCCTTGGAGGGTGATTTCTTGCTTTCTGTCTCTCTGTTTCTCGCTTTCTGTCTCTCTGTTGCTTTCTCTGTCTCCCCAACAAATGCACACACCCTATAGCAAAAATATCTCTCTAAAAATTTTTTTTCTTAAGTAAAATAGAAGTTCTAATAGAAGCAGGCTGAGTCCTGGCATGACAACAAAGGGATGGATCTGGATAGTCTGTAAATTTCCTATTTCAGACTGCATTTTCTAATTTCAATTTGATACCCTCGTTGGTACTCTTTGCACTGAGGCCAGATGTTACCTGTACTTATTATTTCACTTATACTAGTGTGTGTGGTTGTGGTTCCTTAATTTTGACAGTACAGAAATATTTCCCTGTTCTCATGTCTCTATCAAAAGAGGGATAACAAGGACTTCCACTGATAATATAGTATTGGTAGGCTTAACTTCTTTCCTATATAATAATCCCTTCTTTGCTGTGTGTATGTATATATGTGTGTGTATATGTGTGTGTGTGTATGTGTGTGTGTACATTTATTTAAATTTATTTCTTTTGAGCAACAGGAAACAGGGAGAAAGAGAACAGTACCCCCAACAGAATTTTGACCCTGCAGTTCACCCCCAGCCTTCAGCTAGATTGTGTGTATACACATGCCTGGCATACTCAAAGGAATTCTCTGGACTTGAACCAAGACCGTTCCATGTGGGATTTGCCTATTGGAAAGTTGCATTTTACTCCTGTGCCACTGTCTGTTGCCTATTCCCCATATATTTCCTTCCTGTTAGAATTACCTTTCTTAATGGTACTAGTGTCTTCCCAGTCATCCTAGTCTGAGAGCTATTGGAGTTACCCTCAACATCTCCCATGTGTTCTGTATGGCTCAGAAACAAAGCCCTCTCCATTTTACCTCTTAAAGATTGCTCAAGTTTTCCACATCCTAATTGTCTGTTCAAATTTTCATTACCTCTCTGCTGGCCTGCTAACTTGAACTCCACAATGGTTTGCTTGCTTCCACACTTTCATTACACTATCATCAGTCTTATGGCTTTAAAATTCAAATTTGAATGCAAAATATCTCACCTTTGCTTAAAATCCTTCAACAATTCCTTGTAGTCTAAGATAAAGTCCAAATTATTTAGCAGTGATACTTGACCTTTGCCTATCACTTCAGCCTATGTCCTGCACTTCCTCCCCGTGCAGCCTGTACTCATACCCCACTGTAGAGCTTGTACATGTTAAGTTATCTCTGAATTTTGCTTGTACTCATGCTTTCTCTTTCGAATGTCCTTGCCTGCCTTGCCCACCTGGTGAATTTTTACTCTTGCTTTATGTCTCTGTTGCTATGTCACCAGAGGTCATCTGTTTCCCAATTTGCTTTTCCCTTCTCTCTCCCCACGTGCCAAGGAATTAGCCTCCTTTAAGCTTCTCATATATCTTGTATTTATCTCTGTTTATAATGTTATACTAAAATAATTTATTTGTTTTCTTATGCAGATCTCTAAGTGATTAATTACCAAGTCTTTATTTTTTGGATATCCCGATTGCTTAACATAGTATTTAGCACACAATAGGATTTCACTCTTGAGTGTATGTGTGTATATATTTAAAATATATAACTCTGGGGCCAGCTGGTGGCATTGTGGTTAAGGTAGCTGGGTCCCACATGACTATGGGTTTTGAGTCCTGGACCTCACTGCTTCAAAACACACCAGATATATATGTATGCATGCCCAAAATCTCAAAGGGAAAG